GAAAAGAAACACCCCAAAAAAGGCAATGTTATTCCATTTTCAATGATGTTTACCATGACAAACCAATTGATCGCCACATTTTAAGTACAGTAGCAGAAAGCATTTTAGCATATATATTTATAGCCCATGCAATATAAAATATTAAGAATTGTATAATTTTAGTGAATTATTAAGGATTTTGGATGGTTGTCATAGCAACCACATAATTTTAAAAAAGGGACAACTGTTGGTTCATTATCATTGTTCTCAGCATTCCTTGCTTACATTATTGTTAGAATTCTGCTTTTACATATTATTTTCTACTCAGAAGATAACATTGACCAATAAAAAATTATTCTCTAAAGACTAAAGAGTAAAAGTAGGTTACTCAGTTACTGATAGGCCATGGTGGGCCTAGTCATGTTTATAAAGGCCTAGGCCTAATAGCTACAATTTAACTCAAGGAATTGTTTTGTGTTTACTTCACTTTTGAATATTTCTATTATTCCTTAAAATTGGTATGTAGCTCATTGAGCAACTTCCTTTTTTGTATAGTTTAATCAATGTAAATAGGGGGGAGAGAAGAGAGAGAAATGGGGTTTAACATCCACTCGACATAAACTAGGTCATTTCGGGACTAACATATGGTTTAATTTTATTTCAATAATTCGCTTGCGCGTAGGGGTCTTTAGCAGTGGGAGGAAACCGGAGGACCCGGAGAAAACCCACGAGGTACAGCGCGCACGCTAACCATTCAGCTATCCAACCCAACGTAAATACATATCGAATCAAGGCCTAATTAAGACCTTATGTCTGTTGGTTCATTCAATTTGTTTAACTGGCCAACAAATATGTGATACTCGCGGTGTTAAATATAGTTTCCTAAAAAAAAAAAAGAATTAAAATTATAATAATTAGTATGACAACTGTGATATAATGCTAAATTATTTAGTAAAACGTTTTGCGAAAATTGGGTATCCGTATCAATACTGAATAACTGAGTGATGATAGTAATTAGTATATTATTGACATGACTGACCTAATTCATAATCTATGTCGGTTCCATCATCTCAAACGAAAAGTTGTAAATCGCCAACGGCAAATCCAGAAAATGAGCCATTTTTCAAATTATTTCAGCTAGTGTTAATTCTTTTGTTGGCCCAACTTTATTTGGGTATAATTCCCGTTGAAGTGGATAGAAATCGATGTACTAATTATCAGTAGTACTAATATTAAATAGGCACCATATGACGTCAAGTTGAAAAAGTGTTATAAATTGGGAAAAAATGACTTTCTTCCAACACGGGCAATGGCGCTGTGACACCTATTCACAGTATTAAAGTGCTAATAATAATATCATTGACACAACTTTATTATTTCATGTAAAAATTGCAGAGCTGGATAGCGTTGAATAGTGCTTTATTTAGTAAATATTCTAGGGCTGGAACAGGTTGCATAAACATAAAAACGTAGTCTCCCTTCATAAGAAAATATTATTTTCCATTGTAATAAAGAGTAAATATATAATTAAACAAAGATTTAATAAAACTTGCAGGTCTGGATCACGTTGTATAGTGCTTTATTGTAATGGGCTTTAATGTACATGTAATACTAAATTACATACTTAATTTAAAGGAGCTAAATCGCTAATATTTGGGACCTAGAAATTGACCCTTATGGGTCGAAACGCATATAATTATGTTATCTGATTGTATATAAACTGATTTTCATTCAATTGTTTCCATTTTGACTCTTAATTTCAAATCAGTTATGTCCAGCGAAATACGGCATGAGTCTCAACCGAATGCCAATTTCAAGCGTCTGGTTATTCCAGTTTATTGCGCATGCTCTCCAGATAAGATATGGCGTCACCGTTTGACAGGAGTTGTGGAATATGTCTAGCCTCAATCTTTCTGGTCACTTGATGCAAATGACGCTGAAACGCACTACATGTATGGTACACGATTCGTGTACCAATGGTAAAATGTTTATTTTGGCTTAAATATTGCATATCAGACGCCTACCTTTACCCGGTAAGATCATAATATCAATGTTGATTTGAATTGATAAATAATTCGTGTTTTCAACGTGTAAGACTTTGGATGATATTGAGTTAGAGACTTTAAACAAACAATTCGCATCAAACATTTTAGTGTATCATAAATCACCGGAGAAAGATATGCCTTGAGATCCCGCCAAATCTATAAAAGCCAATCGGTTAAGGGAATCGCAATATGGGACTATATTCTTACGCTATTGCAAATATGTTTTCTAAAGGTGAAACCATTATATTGTATTAGAGTTTGACTATAGAATTAAATAAGCTCCGTTCAAGGCTGTGGAAATTTTCAAAGTCATCGAGGTATGCGGAAATACCACATGGTGTTTAATATATAATCTACATGTATAAATTTGGGGACTTGTTTGATACAATGTATGTATTCATTCGCCAAATGAACGAGTTTTATCCACGTGGTGCATTACTCCTTGGATATAAACAGTGACGATTTCTTTAATTTCGGCAAAACAGAATACCCGGTAAGTAGTTTATGTGTTCATTTAGATCTGTTACTGATTATAATATATTCAAGCATTCAATCAGTGGAATTGTTCTAAGTTGCCCCCTTAACGAAGGAAAGTAGAACTTACAAATGCCGTAAATAAACACATTCACGGCTATCGGAAAATAGAAAAGAGTGAAATGCTCCGTGAAAGTAATACACTTCCGAAAAACTCGATGAAATGTTAGCTATTTCCTAGCGTGAATAGTTTTGGGCCATCGATAAGTAGAGTAATACAGCAGTAAGAACATAGTCCCTGTATTGAACCCAACAACTTAATGTTTTGGCGCGTTTCTGACCACGTGACAGACTTACTGTTATGCACATTGCGGAGTGATTTATGATGTGCTGTATGGATGGTTGATTAATTAAGATTAACTGAAGCTGCGAGTAATGAAGTAATGCGTAAAAGCTCATTGTATATAATCTTAAATTTGGATCTGACAGCAGCCAATAATTAATGAAATTACATCTCAGTTATCGATGAAGATCAAATGATACGTTTAAAAAATTGTAAGTTGTTCATTGATCGCATACATTTTGGCTACACGTAATGCATGCACATATTATTATGTATAGTGATTTGAAAAAAAAACAAGCCAACAGTGAGGCTGATGTCCCCCGCCAAAATCCTCAAATAAATAGATGACACATATAGCACATCTATTTTTTTCAAAAGTATCAAGCAATCAAACTGACTACCAACTATACACTAAGTTTCATCACTCTCTATCAGATACATGTAGAATCAAAGTTATCTTGTCCCAAAGCATCGACCAAGGAAATTGCTTATCTCTGCTTAGCTTTAGCTCGATATGTTATTCATTGAACTCAGTCAAGACGAACATCTACATCAAGTTTAAACTATACTACCTCAATTAGAAGCAGAATTGTTAGGTTCCAAAATCTTGACCAATCAAAATGCTTATTGCTCCTTAGTCTACGCAGAAAATTCTCATCATCGAACTTAGTCAAGGTAGTGATGTAATGAAATTATACACCAAGTTTCATCACTCTCACTTAATTAGAACTAAAGATATCGTGTCCCAAAGCATCAACCAATCAAATTGCTTATCTCTGCTTACCCTAAGCAGAAAATGCTCATCTTCGCACTCCATCTAGGCATTTACCTCATAAACACCTACACCAAGTTTGTACATACTAGCTCAATTAAAAGGAGAGTCATTGTGTTCCAAAGTCTCGGCCAACCAAATTGCTTATAGCTCTGCTTACCCTGAACAGAAAATGCTTATCATCGAACTTAGTCAAGGTATTGATGTAATGAAACTATACACCAAGTTTCATCACTCTCACTTAATTAGAACTAAAGTTATCGTGTTCCAAAGCATCAACCAATCAAATTGCTTATCTCTACTTACCCTAAGCAGAAAATGCTCATCTTCACACTCCATCAAGGCATTGACCTAATAAACACCTACACCAAGTTTGAACATTCTAGCTCAATTAGGAGAGTTATTGTGTTCCAAAGTCTTGGCCAATCAAATTGCTTATCGCTCTGCTTATCCTGAGCAGAAAATGCTCATTATCGAACTTAGTCAAGGTATTGATGTAATGAAACTATACACCAAGTTTCATCACCCTCACTTAATTAGAACTAAAGTTATTGTGTCCCAAAGCATCAACTAATCAAATTGCTTATCTCTGCTTACCCAAACAGAAAATGCTCATCTTTGAACTCCATCAAGGCATTGACCTAATAAACACCTACACCAATTAGAAGGAGAGTTATTGTGTCCCAAAAAATGTGACGGACAGACAGACAGACGGACGGACAGACAGACAGATGAACCCATTTTAATAGTCCCCTGCTTTCTTCAAATGGCGCAGGACAAAAACCTAACCGATACAGAATGCCGGTAAACGTTTTCCCGAGATTACTTAACTCATTTTGTTATTATTCAAATCGGCCTGTACATTGTACATGTACACGTTTTCACGGCAGTATTAACTTGTAGAACTTACAAAAGCCGTAAAATAACCTTACAGCCATCGGAAAATACAAATAAGTGAAGGTACACTACTGTTACCGTATAAAAGCCAGCAGGAAAAGCTGACGAAAGGCTCGCAAATTCCTTGCATGACGAAACATGGTGAATTCTTAGCGAAACAAGGTGGATTCCAAACGAATCTTAGCAAAAAATCGCTGCAAAATCAAGCGAAATTTCAATGCGAAATCTAAGAGAATTCTGAGCGTTTTGTTTTTTTCTCTGCGATTTCGGTCCCAAAAATTTGGGACTAACTGTAGTACATAAATGTGATATGTGTGTTAATTATGTCTAACCTGACACAACCTGGATTTCTAAAAATGCATTATTGAGGTCTGGGAACAATAAAGTAATATATTGCTTAGAAGTTCATCTAATTCTTAGATTATTATAGATGTATTGTCAGAGAAATGTTGAAATACCACATGTTCCATAAGAAGACAATTATTTTTACCTAGATCAGCTCTAGTAGGATCTAAGAGACAGAGTTCTGGTGAAAATGGATCTAAACCAGATAAACATGGAGAATCTCTATTACTGTTAGAACTGGTACCTACAATAAACAATATTCCTATATTAATTATTATTATCTATCAGCTGTATACAAATCAATACTACCATACACTACAAAGACATAAGCCAGAATGGAAGAACAGTAATATTGATAGTAATTTTAAAGTTTGACTATATCATGTACCATATTCCATTTGAGGATTTCGAGAATAACTATAGACAGAAACTGAAGTAAGGAATGTTTTAACTCTCAACTATTGATACTAATCATTTCCAAACTGAGTAGCAATTTGCCCAATTGATTAGCAGTTTGTGAAAGTGTAATATTCTTCACTTAATATTGATATGTTATTAAGTATTCTACCTATATTGTTCTATTCAGTAATAAACCAGCGGCTGCCAGGTAGGATACGCCCACATTTTGCAAGAGATGAATAGAGAACAAGCTAAAAACAAAGATAGGTTGCCAGGCAACAAAACATACGCCCACAGCAGCTAAATCGTCCGAGCAGTCGACAAGGGTTGTCGCATATTTATTCTTTTGTAGGTAATTAGGGGAATATAATAGACAACTGATGACATTATAATTTTCGTCGTTTGAGGGTTCACAAGGTTCTAAAAACTAAAACAAGGGCTGTAACTCGGGAAGTAATCTACAGAAATTGTTGAAATTCGACAGGCATTTTAGTTTTACTAATTCAAATAATGCATATCAATTTCATACAGATCGGATGATAACTGTTGTCGTTCGAACGTTCACAAGGTTCAACAAAGTAAAACAAGGGCCATAATTCTAGAAGTAATTGACAGAAATTGCTGACATTCAATAGGCTTCTTTATTTCACTAATTTAAATGATGCATATGAATCTCATACAGATTGGGTGATAACTTTCTAAAGATAGGTTGCCAGGCAACGAAACATACAACCACAGCAGCTAAATTGTCCGGGAGTCTAAGAAGAGTTGTTGCATATTTTTACTTTTTTCGGTAATTAAACATTTATAATACATTAAAATCTGATTAAGAGTAATTATCAGAAAACCATTAGAATTTGGAGCCACGGTGGCTAGGTGGTTAAGACGCTGGCTCGCTAGCCTGGAGGTCGGGTGTTCGATTCCTGCATTGGCCGAGAAAGTTCATCCTGATTTTCCGACATGGTTTCCCCTTGTCAGTGGTGCAGAACGGAGGGTTTGGCAAGGACAGCTGTCTAGTCCTTCGGATGAGACGAAAAACCGAGGTCCCGTGTATACATTAGAATACACGTAAAAGATCCCTTGGCAGTTGGAATTTGATATAAGAGTAGGCGATAGTGCCGCTGCCCGGGCAAAATTTCCCTCATAGCACACTGTATGGTGTATGCCCGTCTTCATTAGCCCAGTATAGGAGCAGAACAGTAGGACGTTAAACCCCATTTCATTTCATTTCCATTAGAATTTGTTTGATTTTTATAAAGTTCTGCCCCATGCTAATGTTTAGCATACGAAACTTTTAACATCATGGATTTAGTTGTTCAAGTCATAAAAATTCATTGACCAGCGGCTGCCAGGCAGGATACGCCCACATTTTCGAGAGATGGATAGAGAACAAGCTAACAAGAAAGTGATTTTTCCTACAATCAAGGGCCATAATTCAGAAAATTACAATTCGATATGCGCAAATATCGAAAGGAACTACTTACATTTCAAGTTTCAACAAAATCGGATAAAAATTGTGACCTCTATAGGGTTCACAACCTTAATATACCATATTTTTACGCTATTTGAGAACGAACGGCAGCCATTTTGTCTGTCAATTTTGGGCCGATTTTCACGGGTTTTTTCGTACAATCAGGGGCCATAATTCAGGAAGTTACTGTCCGATATGCGCAAATATCGAAAGGAACTAAGATCTTTGGGTTATAAACTTACTTAAATTCGAACTCAGTCGTCCTTAGGGTGTGTCGGTGATATAATAATAAGTTTTTTTAAATCGGATAAAAATTATCACCTCTATAGGGTCCACAAGCTAAAAACTTGATTTTTCATACAATCAGGGGCCATAATTCAGGAAGTTACGGTCCGATATGCGTGAATATCGAAAGGATCCGAGATCTTTGGGTTATAAACTTACATTTCAAGTTTCACCAAAATCGGATAAAAATTGTGACCTCTATAGGATCCACAACCTTGATATACCATATTCTTGCGCTATTTTAGAACGAACGGCGGCCATTTTGTCTGCCAATTTTGGGCCGATTTTCACGAAATTCGAACTCAGTCGTCCTTAGGGTGTAACGGTGATATAATAATACTTTTTTTTTGGAATCGGATAAAAATTATGACCTCTTTAGGGTCCACAAGCTAAAAACGCGATTTTTCGTACAATCAGGGGCCATAATTCAGAAAGTTAAGGTCCGATATGCGCAAATATCGAAAGGAACTGAGATCTTTAGGTTATAAACTTACATTTCAAGTTTCAACAAAATCGGATAAAAATTGTGACCTCTATTGGGTCCGAAACCTTGATATACCATATTTTTTACGCTATTTGAGAACAAAGGGCGGCCATTTTGTCTGTCAGTTTTGGGCTGAATTTCACGAAATTCGAACTCAGCCGTCCTTAGGGTGTAACGGTGATATAATAATACGATTTTTTAAATCGGATAAAAATTATGACCTCTATAGGGTCCACAAGCTAAAAACATGATTTTCTGTACAATCAGGGGCCATAATTCAGGACGTTACGGTCCGATATACGCGAATATCGAAAGGAACTTTGGGTTATAAACTTACATTTCAAGTTTCAACAAAATCGGATAAAAATTGTGACCCCTACAGGGTCCACAACCTTGATATACCATCTTCTTACGCTATTTGGGAACGAACGGCGGCCATTTTGTCTGTCAATTTTGGACCGATTTTCACGTGATTTTTCGTACAATCAGGGGCCATAATTCAGGAAGTTACTGTCCGATATGCGCAAATATCGAAAGGAACTGAGATCTTTGGGTTATAAACTTACATTCCAAGTTTCAACAAAATCGGATAAAAATTGTGACCTCTATAGGGTCCACAAGCTAAAAACGTTATTTTTCGTACAAACTGGGGCCATAATCCATGAAGTTTCGATCCGATACATGCCAATATCGAAATCAGCCGAGATCTTTTGGGGATAAACCTATATTTCAAGTTTCGTCGAAATCGGATAAGAATTGTGACCTGTAGAGAGTCCACAAACAATTGTGGACTGACGGACAGGGGTGACGGCATAATACGTCCACATGAAAATGTGGGCGTATAAAAATTCATTGAAAATCAATATACTTGTTCATCTCAAGATCATAAACTCTGTGTATCAATCTGAAGTCAATCGGATATTAACTTTGGCCTCTAGAGCGTCCACAAGATTTTTCAAAGTGATCAAGGGCCATAACTTTGGCAGTAATTATCAGAAATCTTTGAAAATCAATAGGATTCTTCGTCTTATGACCTCAAACACTGTTTATAAATTTAAAGTCCATCAGATATTAACTTTAGCCTTTAGAGCATCCACAAGGTTTTTTGAAGCGATCAAGGGCCATAACTCTGGCAGTAATAATTGAAAATCACTGAAAATGAATAGACTTCTTCGTCTCATGACCTTAAACACTGTGTATAAATTTAAAGTCAATCGGATATTAACTTTGGCTTCTAGAGCGTCCACAAGATTTTTTGAAAGTATCAAGGGCCATAACTCTGGCAGTAATTATCGGAAATCGCTGAAAATCAATAGGCTTCTTCGTCTCATGACCTTAAACACTGTGTATAAATTTAAAGTCAATCGGATATTAACTTTGGCCTCTAGAGCGTCCACAAGATTTTTTGAAAGTATCAAGGGCCATAACTCTGGCAGTAATTATCGGAAATCGTTGAAAATCAATAGGCTTCTTCGTCTCATGACCTTAAACACTGTGTATAAATTTAAAGTCAATCGGATATTAACTTTGGCCTCTAGAGCGTCCACATGATTTTTTGAAGTGATCAAGGGCCATAACTCTGGCAGTAATTATCAGAAATCGCTGAAAATCAATAGGCTTCTTTGTCTCATGACCTTATACACTGTGTTGAATTTAAAGTCAATCGGATATTAACTTTGACCTCTAGAGCGTCCACAAGATTTTTAAAGTGATGAAGGCCCATAACTCTGGAAGTAATTATTGAAAATCGCTGAAAATGAATAGATATCTTCGTCTCACGACCTTAAACACTGTGTATAAATTTCAAGTCCATCGGATATTCACTTTGACCTCTAGAGCGTCCACAAGATTTTTCAAAGTGATCAAGGGCCATAACTTTGGCAGTAATTAAAGTTAATCGCTTAAAATCAATAGGCTTCTTTGTCTCATGACCTTAAACACTGTGCATAAATTTAAAGTTAATCGAATATTAACTTTGACCTCTAGAGCGTCCACAAATTTTTTTGAAGTGATCAAGGGCCATAACTCTGACAGTAATTATCGAAAATTGCTGAAAATCAATAGGCTTCTTCGTCTCATGAACCTAAAAACTATGTATAAATTTAAAGTCAATCGGATATGTGGGCGTATAAAAAGGTGGAAAAGAGTATGAAAACTGCTTATTTATAGGAAAAAATACACCAAAGAAGTCAGGAAATCACAGTCTTCCAATCCATGGGCAATTTCTTTTCTCACTGAAGAATTTGAATGTGGGGATGTATGTAACATGGACATGGGTGTTTAAATTTAAAGGGGTATTAGGCAAGATTAGATAAAGTGCTGACAGTTCCTGCTATAATAGTTAAAAATAGATAATTAAAACAAAATATGCTGAATATTTCAGTCAAATTGCTTCACTCTGAACTGAGATATTAGCCATTGAATTTTAGACTAGCTTCGGTCATCATTACTGATAACATTTCAAGTCTAAAGAAAGACCTGTAAATTGCAGATTTAGCTCTTGCATAATGCATGTTTAAAAGTTGTTTTTTTTGTTTTGAGATTGTTAGTTTTTTTCATTACTCAGCCCTATATTACAGTTGGTAAATATTTTGAATGTTAATGT